TGAGATTTGCAAATAAAAAACATATTCACAGATATATTTTTATGTCACAAACACAACTTTGCCTGGCATTCATTTGTGAATCGCGTCCTGTGCATTTGTAGATCGTTGCATGCAATTTTGGATAGCTCCCTGTGCATTTGTAAATCGTTGCGCTTATTTGTGGATTTTGAGACATTTCAAGCGTCAAGAGGCAAACCAATCCACAAATGGATGGACTCCACCCCGCCTTCTACTTAAGCCAACCAGATACCGGTCACGTGGCGCCGACCAATCGTAGCGTGTTCTCGCTCCAACCAATCACGTTTTGCCTTACAATCAGTGTGGGACCAGGCTATTCACACTATTCTGGCTGATTAACCGCTTCGAAATGGACGATCAAGACAGTTTAAGACAGGTAAGTGGTGTTAAATTAACAACAATGAGCAAAAATTTAACATGGTTGTTGCTATGCTCATATTTATGGTGATGGCGAGGGGACCTGTTCGGTTCACTTAATTTTGTCGTGGCCACGTCATATTAACTCGTGGGAACGTCATATTATGTCATGGCCATGAGTTTAATGCGTAAACAAACCTGCATGACCATAGTAACCCGGGATTATCAGGGATGTATTAATATTTTATTTTAAATTAAGAAATTATTATATTATAGAAATTAATTATTATTATTATTACTGTTAACATTGTATGTGTAACTGGAAAGGTTACTCCATACAACATTATCTTACAGTCCGTTCAGTTACATGTTGTTAAAATGACTGTTTGTGCAGGGCCTTTCTGCACAGGTGGAAAGTGCAGCTCGGGCTTTAGTCCAAATAATTGCAAGGGATTTGACACCAGGCCGCTCCACATCAAATCCCCCACATGCACACCTCCCCTCTCACTCTGTCTCTTTGCCCTCGCCCTCATCCTCATCCTTCTGATGCTAGAGTGAATCAGGCCCTGAAAAGGTTTGGATTATATGAAGCTAGACAGTATTTGTTCTGTATGTCCATGAAATGCATTTAATTTTCCACCTAAACCCAGCTATGATTTATGATTTGACAAATCTTATCATAACATACTAATTCTTGTTTTAACTTATGCATTTAGGCAATTTAGAATAGCGTGTTTGGTGCCTGGTCCCACACTGATTGTAAGGCAAAACGTGATTGGTTGGAGCGAGAACACGCTACGATTGGTCGGCGCCACGTGACCGGTATCTGATTGGCTTAAGTAGAAGGGGGGTGGAGTCCATCCATTTGTGGATTGGTTTGCCTCTTGACGCTTGAAATGTCTCAAAATCCACAAATAAGCGCAACGATTTACAAATGCACAGGGAGCTATCCACAAATGCATGCAACGATCTACAAATGCACAGGACGCGATTCACAAATGAATGCCAGGCAAAGTTGTGTTTGTGACATAAAAATATATCTGTGAATGTTTTTTATTTGCAAATCTCATTTTATTTTTTTTGTGTGAATTTAATTCTTGTTTGTGAAACTCTATTTGTGGATCTCATTCTATTTATTTATCAATACATTTTATTTTTGTTAATCTCTTTACATTTATTTGTGGATCATAATGTATTTATTTGGAATTATGCAACGATTCTACCCCCATATTTGATTGCCTTTTCACAGCGCCACCTCTAGGTGCAATAGAAAAGTGTGCGGGAGTTACATCACCTTGTTACTCAACTCACATTGGTAAGCTATGTAACGTACAGTTGAGTTCAAATATCACTCTTCCATACTAGAAGATCAGTTTAATTAGAAAAAAAGTTACAATTATGCAATCTGATGAAGCCGACGTTTTTATACGCTGCGCAACAGCGGTTAAGTAACATGACTAAACAGATTAACCTGGATCTGTCCGTTAACCAGCTCAGCCTATTGAACCAGTCACACTTGGTACGTTTCCAAACGAGAACTTCCTTATAAATCACGAAGGTCTCACACATCTTCATATAATCACCTTACATACGCATTAATATGCTGACAGGTCAGAATTCGTAAACAACTTACCACCAACGTCCTACTGTTGCGGAAAGCAACAGCGCTGCGAGTAAAAGAAATGCACGCAGACATCTTCCACTTCTGTGTTGTTATGTAGTGTTAGTGTGGGATTTCCTTTTTTACGTTAGCGGCTTCAACAGTTTCAAATATGTAAACTGCAATTTGCTCCTCCTCCTAACGTTAATGCCAGCGGGGCGTGAATTTGTCCTCCGTCAATAAAGAGCGACACGCTAAGTAAAAGTGCTTGAAGCCTTTCAGGGGTCCCATGGTTATGGAAAGCCTGGAAACAATGTGGAAACATTGTGCTTTTCAGGCCTGGGAAAGTCATGAAAATTTATAAAATTGTTAAGAGTCATGGGGAGTTTATATATATATATATATATATATATATATATATATATATATATAAACACCTAACATAATTTAAACATCTTTGTTGCTCTCTAGGAAAGCTGTTCAAGGACCGATAAAGATGTTAATCCAGGAACATGTCCTACTTGGCAAAATCACAGTAATTGTGAGTAATCCAT